ACCCTTTTTGCCGGTACCCAGAACAAAAACCCTCCAGAAAGCTCAAGAAACCTGGAGTCCCCACACGGTTTTGGGTTGTTGAGGGTTTAGGGCTTGAGGGTTTAGGGTTTAGGGTTTCGGGGTTTAGGGGGTTTAGGGTTTAGGGGTTCAGGGTTTAGGGTTTAGGGTTTAGGGTTGAGGGCTTTAAGGGTTTAGGGTTTAGGGGTTTAGGGTTGAGGGCTTTAAGGGTTTAGGGTTTAGGGGTTTAGGGGTTTAGGGTTTAGGGTTTAGGGTTTAGGGGTTTAGGGGTTTAGGGGTTTGGGTTTGGGTTTGGGTTTTGGGTTTTGAGTGGTTTCAAGGGGTTTTGAATGGTTTCAAGGGGTGATTAGGTAGGGGGTTTCTGAGTCTCGGTGGGTTGGGGTTTAGGGGCTTGATGGTCGCTTTGGGGATAGACGCTCAGCCCGGAACCCGATGGAAGGTTTAGGGTTTAGGGTGTAGGGTTTAGGGTTTAGGGTTTAGGGTTTGATATGCTTTCAACAATACGAACCTCGCACCGAAGGGCACGGCTAGCTGCCCTGAACGGTAGTTATTTCATAAGCTCATCTGTATCAGAATGTACAGGCCTTAATAATTAGAACAAGGTTTTGAAGGCCATTATATTATGATTATAATAAGGAGCCCCCAAAATAGTATAGGCAATCCTAAACCCTAAACCCGAAACCCCCACATTACGCACGTTGCAGAGCTGAAGTTCCGATGCCAAGAACGTCAAAATGTCTGCTTTCAGCACTTCCTTGCTCAGGCGCTCTTTTAGGGTTCAGGGTTTAGGGTTTAGGGTTTAGGAATGTTGCTTCTTCCTGGATCCACTCGAGAAAAGTCAGGTTCAAAATTCAGGTTCGTTGCGAGCCCTGCAATGTGTGCCGGCGTCGCCATAACGAATGCACCACACGCAGATGCGCTCTTGATGCTCTGAACTCGATACCAGCGACCAATGATAGACGCACGGAGTCGTTGAAATCCCTGGCGCCAGAGTCCGCGACCAAGGTACAACCTGCCAGTAAGAGCTGCTCAGTCATTCAACTTGAGTGTGTGGTATACACACCCAGCTAAGGTGCCCATGAAAGGTGCTCCTGAATTTCATGACTCATGAATAGATGCTCCAAGCGTTCTTGCTCGAGGGCTCCTTCTTGATTGCCCAGGCCTCGGCTATCAAGCATCATGCCAAAAAGCTATACAGGCTCGAGAACATAGTAGAGTTTGCGTTTCGGGTGCGATACATTTTGAGAGTCCAGTTCTGGCAGGGCTGGTGAGCGCTCGTCTTTGTGCAAGTTGGACATTGATGCGAGTTGACCAGACACTTTTGATTCACAGCCGATCCTCCGAAAGTAAACCCCAAAACCCTAAGCAATCCTAAACCCAAAACCATAAACCCTAAACCGAAAAAACACCCAAAACCCTGTATCAGCACGAAAGCAAGATCGAAGTGGGCCTTGGGCGCAGACATAGCGGTCAAGGGCAACAACGTCGCTGAGTACGCGTGGTTCTAAAAGATATTAGGAGACCCTACCTCCTGAGCCGACATCTGAAGGTTTCGTAGACATCCCTATTTCTTCAAATCCGAAGACCTAAGAACTCTAAACCCCGAAACCCCTAAAGCCCCTAAAGCCCGAAAAACTCCTGAAAACGCCATAAAAACCACTTGCTGGACGTCTTTAGGGTTTAGGGTTTAGGGTTTAGGGTTTAGGGCTTTGGGAATTTTGATGGTTTAGGCCATGTGAGTCAGTCTTCAAGCTGTTTAGAAGGGGGATTCTGGGTCTAGGGTTGAGAAGGGTTTAGGGTTTAGGGTTTAGGGTTTAGGGTTTAGGGTTGCTAGAGTAAAGGAACTGTTTAGCTATACTGAATTTAGACCCCTAGCAACAATTATAATTTTAGCTGCTTCTTAGGGTTTATAATAAGCAAAGATTTAAAACAAATCTAAGCACCCCTAAGTTAGGTTCTGGTTTGGGGTTTAGGATTCAGGGATCTGGGTTTAGGGTTTAGGGTTTAGAACCCCAAGAACCCTAAGAACCCTAAGAACCCCTGCGAACCTTAAACCCTAAACCGTCTAAACCTAAACCACCGAATCTTAACCCCATGGCCATTTTTCGCATCCTGCGCTCTCGGCGCACGTCGCGGAATCCGACATTTGTCCGCGTGAGCCCGGATGTAGGTCGCTCTCGGAGATGTGAGGTTTCGGAAGCCTCCATTTAAGGCTTAGGGTTTAGGGTTTAGGGTTTAAGGTAAACCCTAAACCATGATGGAAGCCTCACAATGACCTTCTTAAACAAGACTGTCAGACAGGGTTCTGCGCTCAGGTGCCGTGCCGATCCAAATAGAGGATCCTCTACCACACTACCCTGGCAGTTTACTATCCTATACGATCCTATGCTATACTACGCTATCATCTACTAATCTACTATGTTATGCTTTGCTGTACTTTACTGTCCTGTACTATGGTATGCTACGCTTTGCTGTACTGTGCGCCAGCCTATTATGCTATACCTGTACTGTACTTTCATATACTATACTAGACTAGACCAGACTAGACAAGACTCGACTAGACAATACGATAGTATATCATATGGTACTACACGATACTATGCGGTACCATACGGTACTATACTACACTATACTGTGCTATACGAAACTATGCTATAGCATACTACATGATCTCCTTTCCCATATACTGTACTGTACACCAAACTATACACTATACGATACACGATACTATACGCCATACTATGCACTATACTAGGCACTATACTTTACACTAGACTATGCCATATACTATACATTATACTACACACTGCACTATACACTACACTATACACGATACTATACACCATACTATACCATACTGCACTACAAAGCGATACTCTACGACACTGGTGTCGGCTCCCCACTTGGAGGATCATGGGACTTAGTAAGTAGGGATATAAGTAAGGTAACGGGTTTGGGGTTAGGGTTAAGGGTTTAGGGTTTAGGGTTTAGGGTTTAGGGTTTAGGGTTTAGGGTTTAGGGTTTAGGGTTTAGGGTTTAGGATTAGTAAGTAGGGATATAAGTAAGGTAGCTATGGTTATATCTACTTATAACCCTAATTAGGGTACTTATAACCCTACTTACTAACTCTCGTGATCCTCTAAGTAAACCCTAAACCCTAAACCCTAAACTCTAAACCGTAAACCCTAAAGACCATTGACCACCCCTTGAAGGCTCCCCTCAGAATCTGCTGATCCCTATCTCAAGTCCTCTAAGTACATCTGAAGCTCGAAGGGAATCTCGAAACCTAGGGGCCTTAACGACTAGAATAGGAGTTTCCGGTTTAGGATTTAGGGTTTAGGGTTTAGGGTTTAGGGTTTAGGTATCCTGGGGAATTAAAGGTAAACCTTTGGGAGTATACTGGGACTTTATAGGGAGTATGGTACCCCAACAAGGTTAAAGGTTACCTACTCTACTACCAGCTGTACGGACACTAACAGGAGGTACCGTGACTAACTTTTCAGACCTCTATATTATATTGCTCCGTGAATCCTCAGTTGGACCGTTACTAATTACTTTTTTGAGGCTCTTCTAGAACGCCCCAAGACCCATGAATCACACGGTATTCCTCAGACTAGACACCCCAAAGCCCTAAACCCTAAACCTTAAACCCTAAACCCTAAGCCCCAGACCCCTAAACCGTAAGCCCCAGACCCTAAACCCTAAATATACCAAGAAGGCCGAGATGATTCGAGGAGAATTGGGCGGGGGCCAGTGTCGAATCCCAGCTTAACCAAGTAATTTACCTTTCTTGTCGGGGTTTAGGGTTTAGGGTTTAAGGTTTATCCTTTCAGGTAGGGACTGAGCTGTGGCGGAGCCGAGGATGCATAAAAGGTTTTGGAGTTTTGAGACTTTAGGGCTTTTAGGGTTTAGGGTTTAGGGTTTAGGGTTTAGGGTTTAGGGCTTAGGGTTTAGGGTTTAGGGTTTTCGGTTGAGGTATTTTGTGTTTCGGTGTTTCGGGGCTCGGTCTTTTTGTTGGATCTAGGGGTGTTGGGTTTGGGGTTGTGGTGTTTTGATGGTGTTGAACTGTCAAAGCCATCACACCCTAAACCCTAAACCCTAAACCCTAAACCCTAAACCCCTAAACCCCTAAACATCACGGGGCCTGCGGACAAATGCCGGGCTAGTTGAAATTTCGTGCTCTTCTGGGGATGGGCCGGGCTCTCCCTTCTGTCGATTCTCGGTTTAGGGTTTAGGGTTTAGGGTTTAGGGTTTAGGGTTTAGGGTTTAGGGTTTAGGGTTTAGGGTTTTTTTTAAACCGTCAGAACGAGGTTTGGGCCACAGATATAGTGCAAGAACAAGGGGCCTTTTTTGTCTGCAAGTTGGTTCTATGAAAACCCGACCGAAGAAACCTTTAAAACTCTTGCAAGACTTTCGGGACTTGCCACAAAACCCCAACAAAAACCCTAAACCCAAAGTCCTAAACCCTAAACCCTAAACCCAACAAAAAAAACCTAGAGCATAAAAAACCCTAAATCCTTAACCCTAAACCCTAAACCCTAAACCCAACAAAAAAACCTAGAGCCTAAACTCAAAACCCTGGCTTGGGATCAGGGGCCGCTGAATACTACGAGGGCGCAAACTTTGGAGTTCCGAAAGGGGCTAGAGCTTGGGATGTGACGGTTTAGAGGCGTTTCTTGGTG